TTTTAACCCCCTTAAAAAAAAAAAAAAAAAAAAAAAATTCTTAAAATGGGATACCCGCACAACTGAAATACTTTCTTTGCACGAACGATATTCTCATCGAAACTTTGTCAGAGAAAACGAAACGAAGGAAAAGTACCACTCGATCACGCGTCACCCGACAGTGGATGACAAGTCCAACACACAATGAAAGCTCCACCAAACTGTCGCCGTTCGGATGCTGAATCGCATTTTTCTCGCACACTCGTACCCAACAGCTTGCCCGCATTCTCTTGAAAAAAAGAGGAAAAAAAAAAAAAAAAAAAAACGCCAAGGCAACCGGTGAGCGCGCAGTTTTCGCCCCTTTCGTAACTTTATCAAATGACGAAGGGCGAATGTAAAATGACGCTCGCGTACTTAGCAAAGAGCTCTCCCGAGGAGTTATTTGCGATACGCGCTGGAGGTGGGCGCTGAAATCACCCGAAACGACGGAGTCTTATCTAGTTGGTATACATGAAGCGCCGGGGAGCGCGTGAGGCTGAATTTAATAAGGTTTACGCGTCCGCGACCGAGTTTTCAGGGAATAATAAAAAAAGTTATATTAAATTCATCGGATACTCTCCTCGGGCTGGCAATGCCCCACGGACCAGGGATCCATTAATTTTTTTTCAAACTTTTGATTTTTTTACGTCTTGCGGGCTCTGGGAAACAGATTGAGAATGTATACTTTTGTAATTGTTGGTGCACATGAATAATGTTTTTTTGTTTTTTCTCAAGAAAAACAGAAGTTTTGTTCCCACGAAATTTTGGAGCATCGCTGGCAATTCCATGCAAGATTTCGGGCCAAGATAAGCTCCCTTGAAATTGTCTCCCTGGCAATACCTGGACTACGACCCACCGTAAGGCACGTATCTCGCCTGGGGTTGGAAAGCAACACCTACGCGACGTCGTCGAGCTGTTCCCTTTGGCGATAAAGGTATTGCGAGTGCAATTTTAAATGCGCAAAGTGGGCAATTTCGGTCGAGGCGACGCGGGTGGGGATTTTTATTGCCGATTAGGCGGTGCAGCGTGGCATCTCGCGGAACAATGGAACGTCAGAAATGTCGGGGGTTAACGCGGAAGGATATAGACGTCCTTGTACATGGCAGGACCACTGCAGCGGCATCGTTCGGGACGAAATTTTTTTTATGGTTCATAAAAAAAAAAAAGAAAAAAAAGGTTTGTAGTCGATGCAGAGCGCGGTTTATTGGAAAAGCGCGGTTTTCGTCCACCGAACGAGAAACGCACTCTTTTTTACGACCCCGCCACTGCCGTGGCTCATCCCTCTTTTTTTTCAACGAAGCACGCAATTTTAATTATTACTCCGCCCGAGGCACACCCAAAAAACGAAGAGCTTTGGATTTGACACGTTACGAGAATGTGCTTTTTTTAGCCCTCCCAAAGTTTGGAAATAAAAACGTATCGCGCGCGCGCACGTGTGTGTGTGCCCACGGGTGTATGGTGAAAGGGAGCACATGTCAATCAAGTCGATTCTTCTGTAGTCGAATGGCTCTTGGAAATGGGTTTTTTTTTTTTCTTTTTTTTTCAATTTGGCGTACGAACGTTTTAATGAATGTCGGTGATGGAAAGACCCCTTTTCATTGGAAAATTCATAAAAATAGAACTAATCAAACACGAATGGCTGGATTTATGCGAAAAACGAATAGTTGGTATTTCTACAATTGTTTTCGGTTATCTTGGAATTTATTTGCTCTGGATATGTTTTAACGTGTAATATTTCGATTCCAAGATTGTACAGACCACCCTGTGCTTTTGATAAAACTGTTTCAACCGTAAAAATAGAAAACTTTACACTTTTTTCTCTCTGGTGAAAACAGCTAAAAACGAAAAATGAAAAAACCACTGGCACTCACGGTTTTTGGCTTCTAACTACTGATCGACACGACAACCATCGAGATTGATGCAAAAATAAATGACACAGATCACATGTAGCCAAACCAGTATGTATTGTACACACACAAGATCACAGTGAGAAAAAAAACAGCAAAATAAAAAAGAAGAGGTATATCCAATCGAGTCCTGCGCGTACCTTGTATCCGAGGTAGGCAAGAAGTAAAGCCTCGGTGAGTGAGACGATGGCAAGTATGACCTGTATGATCCATAGCTCGAAGGGCCGCCGCACCCAAAGTATCGCGTCCCAATTGATGGTCGGGTGCTCCTGGAATTCTTCCTCCGTGAGGTTTTGCGAAAGCAGGAACTCCGTCTTGTTCCCGGGCGTGCACCCGTAACTGCAATAGTTTTTTTTTTTTTTTTTCTCTCTCTCTATCACCCAAAACCCAGCTAAGCCGAGCTCGCGTTCGCTCCACCTTCTTAGCCTCCGTACGCGGTATAAAATGCTCTGCTGTTGCGGCTCGCACACAACGCGCCCGCGGAGATTGCGTTTTCTTTCTTCGAAGCAGGAACGCAGACTTTTCTCTCCTGCCTCCCATATTTTTTTTTGGTCCTACTGCTTCCGTTAACCCGAGAGGTAATTTCACGCCCTTTTGCTCCGCTGCTCTTTTTTCCGTTTGTCGTCCTCATTTTTGTTGCCATTTAATTAGATCGCATGGACTCAAATTAATGAAGAAACGGGATTGCACACTTTTACAGGAAATCAATTCATTACTTTCGCGTCCTTTCTTTTGACGAGTTGAAGCTGCTGGAGCTCCGACTCCATTCGATTTTTTAAATACTTTCGATTAAGCTTTTCTGATTCTTCATACGATTGTTAAATCAATAAAATATTTTGGCTCCAGTGTAATGTTTCCCTTTTTTATGTTTTCGTCAAGAAACTCGTCAACAAAGTCGTTATACGTTTACTGAGGTAATTCCTTTAAGCGCTTAAATTTTTTACACGACAATAATTATTAATAATTCAATTACGTATATTGAACACTACTGAATTCAAAATAAAAGTAACAAAATCCGTAAACTCGAAAAACACAGTTTCAGCAAACTTATAATACATAAGAGCCATGATATCTCCGTGTTTCTGCTACAAAATTCAGCTTGAAAAATAACCCGCGTTTCAACTGCACACGTGTAAGTATAATAGCGACGTCGCTTTTTCCTGATACGCATTTTTGGTATCACGGCAACGGACTAGGTGTAGGAAAAAAAAAAAAATGGGGCAAGACATCCGAGCGTCTGCTTATATATCCTGACGAAGGGAGCAGTTTGCCCAACGGCACACGGAGATCGATAATCCTTTTTTTTACCCTTTTGCTTTACGAGTTGAGCAAGTTTTGGTACACAAAATCCACCCACAGCGCGTAAATTGGATGAGCATTTGACGTATATGTTTATGTGTTGATGAAATGAATAAATAAATCATCTCACCAAGCGGCAAACGTAGGATCGCTGTCGGTCACCACGCGAAATATGTACAGGAAGCATGTCAGCAGCTTGAAAAATAGATTGGCCAAGCGTATCCTGAGACCTGCAAAGGGCAAACAAAAAAGAAAAAATTCAGAACATTATACACGAATATATTTGTCAATCGAAGAGAGAAGGAGGATTGCTTGAAATCGGCGGCAACTTATACTCCTCTCAACTCTCGCTTTTCCCGACCGACAAAGGGCCATATTCTCTCTATTACGCGCGTATACGCACGTACAAAATCATCATCGTCCGCCCCGACGTAATACGACCCGCGCACCCACACACAGCCCAACCGAAAACGTCCAGTTGGCAAATGTTTACCGGACACAAGAGAGTACGCAGGGACATGGTTTCGGCGATCCAACACAAAGGAGGGCTGTCCGCCAAGGGCCGCGTTGAAGCGCACCCACACACCGAGCGAATTTCACTTTGCCGAGGTATATGGAGCCGTTCACGGCATGTTGAGCACACCAGACGGGCGCAGGTGCTCCGGCGGAGAGGCACGGCATTGTTCCGGTCATTCGAAGCGTTACGGGCAGGGGCTTTGAAATGCTTGCGTTTCTTCGGCTGATGCTGTTGTTGCCACCACTGCCCTGCCGCTGACGGGCGATCGGTTTTGAGGACTCGATCGCCTATTATGCAAAACCAACGGGAGCTCGGCGTTGATTACAACTGATTACGCGCCTGCGTTGCTTGGGACGCGGGATCCTTCCCTTGAACGGAGGGTATTCGTTTTCTCTTTGTTATCCCCACATTTTTCGCACGAGGCGCCAATTGAGACTCTTTTTTTTTTTCTTGCTTCACGCGAAACTAGTCGAAAATCAATCAAATCAAGTGCATTTACCTCGTTTGACATTATTCACGTCTTATGTAAAATTCATTCGAGTAGTACACGCGAAACGAACTCGTTACACGTATTGATTCGTCTTACGCCACTTCCCAGTACAATTAACGGTAATCCGATGGCAAACGGAGCAGCGAACAAGGCACAATTAACCATTCGCACTTGATTTGATAACATCAACGAAAGCTTTAAAAGCTCGAAGCAATGACCAACCAGCAGGCAATGGGCCAAATTTCCTAATTGCGATTTATTGTCTCCTTCCATCTCGTTCGTCCCGTTCACGGTATACAGGCCTACCGGTCTAGCTTAACTTAAATCCGGCAAATAGAACGTTATACGGGAGGGGGGTGAGCAAAAAAATTTGGCCAGCGCGGCTGCAACGCCAAGGAATAAAGTGCGGGCAAATGTGTGCGAGGTAAGATGAATTTCACGGCAGCGAGGCTTTCCCGCGTAAGACCCCGCAGAGTCCAGATTTACGGCGGTACCGTATCTCTCCTGCGTCCTTGTGAAAAAAAAAAAAAAAAAAAAAAACCCGTACGGGTACCCAAAACAAAGTCCGTCTCCCCGAATCGTTTATTCAACCAGGAGTATTTTTATTTTTACGAGCGTTCAAAGTTTTAAAAATAATAAACCAAAGAGCGAGAGCTCTAAAACCCAAACAGCCGCACTTGAGCTCGTCTTTAGCGTCCAGCACACGTGGGAGCACCCTCGACTCCAATAAACCAAGTAGCGGTGTCAGATCGAAGAGCCAAGTGTTTCGTCCCCGCGATTTTTAGTACCCCATAGCGAGTGTTCGTGCGCCACGTGGCCCGTCGTCAACGCCTTTTCTTTTTTTTTCCCCTTTTTACTCACGCTCGTATACCGCACAGTGGCAGATCCTCGCCGCGATCGACGTGGATGGTTAGAAAAGCTCGATAATCGCGTGGATCAGTGGACTCGCGTACTATAAATACACACGCACGATTATTGTCACGTACGTATATGGATTCATAAGGGAAAATTGTTATCTGAGAAGAATTGCAGAGTACGGTCTCAGAAAGTAGGTACATGCACTACACGAGATGAAAGCCGTCTCCAGAGGAGATCAGGTTACAGTGGAGGCGCGCCAGGGGTCACGTTGTTTTGTGGAAAATTATTCGGGATACTCGGTTTTGAGAAAGGGCAAAAATTATATCGAAGAGAACGACCAAGTACATACGTGTGATGCTTTACTTCAAAAATTTTACCACCCGGATACAGTCGACTCGTGCAGCCACCAAAGTTGATAAATAGGTTTGAGTTGGCGTTAGTTGAGTAATTTGAAAACTCGAGTTATGTCATGGGTCTCTGGTAAATACGATATTTTAACACAATGGAGCTACCACCGAATCAAAATTAAATCTGTGTCGTTTAACATGATTGCTTACGCTCTTTTCTCTGGTTTACAGCTCTTGGGGAGGCGGGGCAGGTTTTTCATAATTTGCAGTCAAAATTCAAGGATAACACAAAGTTCGTTCAAATTGGAAAAGAAAGTCGAGCCCGAATTGATGAATACACGTGGTTGGGAAGTGAGGAAGGGCGTGGGAGTTGGTGGAGAAGTTTGTGCTTGAAGATAATTAACTTACTCGAGCGTTGGTTCTTGATGAAGTAGAGCTGAAGCCGTTCCTTGAATGTGTTTTCGTTCACGTAGTACTCGACCCGGACTCTGAAACAGAAAGCAGAAGGATGCACCTGTAATCTGCGGTACATGTGAGTATGATTTTTTTTTCATTTTTTTTTTCAAATTCATTTCTCTCCGATGGTAATTGGCTTGCTCCTTTCAACCCTCTTTTTTTCTGTAATCCTAAATAATCTCTCTCTTTATCGCTAAAATCAAGCATGTATGGAATTACACAGCTTTTTAAAGACCTGAATGAAGGCTCAAGTATATAACGAACGCACCTTTCAGTACATTCTCAACGAGTTTATTTCATTCAAAGGCATGTGTAATCACTACGCGTTTAGTATTTCACGTTGAGTATCACGTGTTTTCAAACGAAAAAGGGGTCCTCCCTGTAAAAATTAATAAGCACCGGCGATTTGTCTAGTCAACAGTTTTTCCAGCAAACACACTTTGTCGATTTGTCAGCTCCAGTGTATTCTACGGACGAGTGAAACGTGCGGGCTGTTATAATCCTTGCTCGGGAAAACTTTCCAAAGATTTCGTATACGCACACTCATTGATTATACAAAAGGCCAGATGTACTCTCCGAGTGGGGGTGGGAGAGACTCGGAAAGCCTCGCGAAAGGCCGAAAAAGGAAGGCAGCTCTGTTTCAGCAGCTCCATTTGGCTGTCCCGGAAAAAAGCTTTTAAGAGGGTGGGAGTAGGATCTCATGCATATGACTTTCTCGAGTATCGGAACCACGTGGATTTGCTCGCTTATACGTGTACGGAGGTACACAGCGCGAGGACAGTGCGACGGAGCTACGCTTCCGATAAGCCCGAAGGCGCGCGTGCTTTTGGTGTCTGCACGCCGACTGAGGGGGGGAAAGAGCAAAAGGAGCGGAAGAAGCAGGGCACTTTGAATTGAAAATATTGGAATTGTCTTCGTAGCTGTTCCGCGTCCCGGAGGAGCTCGAGTGGAATAAAAGAGATTTTGACCTCAAAGAGGAGCCGTTCGACTCCCGTGCCAGGCAGTCTCTCTGTCTCGCTTGGGAGCGCCATTATTTCACGCGGGCCGGAAAAAAAGGGGATATCGATTTTGCTTCGGCACCTGTAACTAATACCCGTGTGTTTTCCCAAAGTTCCGTTTAATTTGTCGGTCGTGTTACGCTACTTGTTACTCAATGCAAGATTCCATTTCCATAAATTGTTGTTCCCAAATGTCTCAAAAACTGTACTCTTACTGCTTTTTGTACTTATAATATCATCAATTTCAGCTCAACTAGCCCCTTTCCCCGAAAAATGGACCCTCCGCATTGAAACTTGACAAATGGCCATCCTGAAAATCAGATTTCGCGAACCCAAGTGCATGTCCACGGCCACAATTTTTCGTGTACGTCGTCCACCGGCGGAAAGGCTCGATTGGTCGGAGCACATAAGTCGTTGGACAATTTGCCGGCGTTCGCCTGACGTCACACAAACGACCCGTAATATCGACGAGCGACTAAAAATAGACGACGACGACGACTGTACACGCGAGAAAAGGATGTCAAGCGTCGAGTGATGAATCGCTGACCATCGCCATGGATGGCCTCTCCTTGTCATTTTCCGAGTTTCGGGTACGTTTATTTGGGACAACGACGAGCGAGTGCTTGTTACTCACTGGCATATCGATAACAACATCGCCCTCGGCTAGACCATGGATTTCTCACGTGTAATTACCAACGCGTCGATTATCCATCCGGTGTACACGTATACTTACCCTTTTGATTAACTCGAGCGCGTCGAGAGCACGTTCAGTTGGTTTTTTCCATCTCGAACATCCGATTCATTAGACACACGCGAGGAGGAAGCCCATTAATCACCCGTTTGTGTCTCGCTGGCGTGGGGTAAAGTAATAGTTTTTTAAGCGCGTGCGCCTACGTACACACAGCTGATACAGGGATGGGAATATTAATGAAACGCACAGGAAGGGGAGGAACCGAGCGGTAAATGAAACAGAGTAATTACGATGAGAGACGACGATAAGCGGGGCTGCGTGCGCGAGAAATAGCCCGTTAGAGGTACACGGGCAGTATAGGTCGCACGCGCGAAAAGAGTCGCAAAAGCGGCTGGTCACGGAAACTGATTGATCGCCACGTGTATTTCCGGGCACGCGCTACCACCGTTTGAAAGATTTTTCGTGTCTTCCGAGGGAATAAATATTGTTCGAAAATGCCTCGAAAACTTTGAGGCGCGTCGATTTGTCCTCAATGCCATAAAATAAATCTTTTTGTTTTCCCTAATTCTATACTGCTAATCGCGACAATTCGAGACCTTTCGGCACACATCCTTTTCAGGGAGATGCGCCAGATTCATCGGGGAAAAAGACAGATTTGAGATTTATGGGCGAGCTCGGCCGTACGGTGAATCGTAAAAATCCTTTAGTGGCAGAGCATCGAAACAAGGATAGCTTTTACACCCACGGAGTGCCGATACGTTGCTGGCACCGTTCGTGCGATAGGTGGCCGAGCAGAAAGTTCCTACCTCGAGAGAAATCGCTGGAAATTCAAATATTGGGGGCGAAGCGTTGTACCGGGGGCTCTGTGTGACTATGTGTCCGGGAGCAGTTACTCTGTGTATTTCTATTCAAGGCTGGGATAAGGGATTTTCCTACATGCATCCCTACACCCGCTTTCTCTCTTCCATAGAGCCAGGTTTTCAAAGAAACCGGGATTTTTTTCTCTAGATTTCACGCGTCAAAAAAAAAAAAATAAATAAAAATATACATACGTTTGACTATTTATAAGGCTCTACTACTTGATTGGATATTTTCAAGCCAAAGGGGCAAGTCATTCCCTGCCCGTTTACAAACAATGGCTGCAAAAAGCTACCACTTGGCTAATGTTATCCACTGATGTATTAATCAATCAAAAGCAGCCGAGTAACAAAACAATGGGCCCAATAGAGCTGCAGGTACGACAAAATCGCGTGAAGCCACAGTACACGGGGATGCAAGAACCTGCACTAGCTGTACTTCTTGGCAGCCGTTATTTCTTGCCTCTCCATTCTCTCTCTTTCCCTGGTCTGCGTATACACTGCCTCTGGCATCTCTCGCGGCCCCACCTCCCGCCTCTCTTCCGACCGACAGTTTAACAATTCCCCGAAGGCCGGCAACGGGACATATATATCCTAGCGCTCGTCCAGGTGTACGACAATTAATCTCCCACCGGGGGTGGATCAATCGAGCGAAAGAAGCTTCCCGAGGCCTTCGACCGAGGAAGGGAAGCGCTCGTGGCAGGAGAGCGGCTCTTGAAAGATTAATCGATCCCCGCGCTTGGACAGATATGCGCGCCCACCGGTGGGAGGTGTCTCCCCGTCCATTTGTCCGGTTCTCACCTTTCTTGCTGTGTACGAGTGCGCTTGTGTTTGCCTTTTTTTTCTTTTTTCTTTTTTTTATTTTATTTTTTTTTTTTTACTCCGTCGACGATGATATCCGGCCGTTCCATGCGTTTGGACTCTGGAGCTGGTCCGAAATTGGGTTGCCACGTTTCCTCGTGGAAATGGGAATTTACGATCCGGCCTCGTTACCCCCGCGCTTTTCGCGTCAATTGCTCGCGTCGCTAACGGGATTTGAAAGTCGAGGGGTGCGGTTTTTGCTAACTCGCCTATTCATCAAAATAACGAATCGACGGCGTAAGCTCACTCTCGAAAATTTGTTGATAACTTTTTTTTTTTTTTTTTTTTTTCCTTTCTTTCTTCGCGATCCTCACCAGCAGTGCTAAAAGTCCGCTAAGGTATCGATAATTCGGGGCCGTTATATCACGCATGTATGTACGCGCGGAGAGTGCAGTGGAACCGTAAAAAAGGTGCCAACAAAAAAATATGCCACCTAGCGTGTTTCCCGGCTCGATTAGCGCCTGCATAAATAATTTTCTCTCGAAACGGGCTTACGCGCCCCTAATTCCGGCGCTGATCGGTATACGTATCGGTAGGGTGTCGCCACCCAAAACGGAGCACCGTGGATCGATCGTCCATTCGTACAACAACGCTTGTAGCGCATTGAAAAAAAGAGCCTGTGTTATCCCGGCCGATCGATCGGCTGTAGGGGGATAACAAATTTTACTGGCGATGGTATCGGCACTCGCGACCGGTTGTGCTAGTCACGCTTCTTTTGCTTTTCCGCTCGAAAATGCAGTGGCGCGTTTTAAAGAAAAAAAAATATGGGGAAAAAGAGGTGCCTCCTCGTCCGCTATACCGCAAACACGTGTCGGCAATGAACGCATGAATATTAATACCTTCAACGCGTCTCTATTCGTGCGAGAAGCGAAGGAAGAGTTGACCCGAGTTTGTATAATTTTTTTTTTTTTTCCCTTTGAAAAATATCCACGAAAATGGGCGCACTCAATTTCGCTATACACCTATTCAACGTGCCTATACGCTATGTGTGTCATGGTTTTTTCTTTGTGTGCATTTGAGTTGACATTTTGCACTCGGTCTACTTTACCTTGTTGGCACAGGCAAGCGGTATACGACGTTTGTTTTGACGCCCGAGTGCGGTTTTAGTGATTTTTAAATCGGTATCATATTTTATTGTATCTTTTACGTAAATTTTGTATAGTACACGTAAGAAAAAGTTGAAACAATTTAATAGAGTAGAAAACAACTTTTTCATTTATCGTGAATAGTGTGCATTCTGTGCACGGCTATAAAAACTTGCTACTAGAATAATAATAATATTGAACTCGAAGCTCATTATGTCAATATTAAAATAATCTTTAAAAAAATTTTAAGCCGCACCAATGAAATCGTGAATAAGTTTCGAGTTGCGCCGTAAAAATTTCATGGACATCGGTATGTAGTCAGATCTTTGCAAAAGTTTCTGGATTGTGCAGGGCAATGACCTTTTTCTGTGTGCAAGTGGCGAGAAGAGAAGTCGGAAGTGGATCACTTGAGAATTATTTTCGGTGCATCGGCACTTGTGTAAAAATTAAATGTTCCTTGCACATGTTGGAAAAAAACAATAATAATTTCATCACGCTNCGGCCAGTGCACATATTCTATGGGCATATCGCTCGTTTTTT